TCACTGAGTCAGAACAGACTTGATGACAGTGAGTTTTGAGTTCTGTATGTAACTAAATGTTAACGAACTTTCAAGGCAGAGGAAGTCTTATGTCCCACCTAGCCTGGCACAGAGCCCTACAATCAAATGCATGCTTACTTTTCAGTTAGTGCCACTTTACATAGGGAGATGAGAAGTATATTCTACTTGAAGTGATTTCTTGTATAAGACGTACTTTAGAGACCAGGGAGTGTAACTAACCAAGAACCTTCCTTCTTCCAGTATTAGCTGTTATTGATCATGGTTTTTTGTTTTTTAGAATGAACAATTTTACTAGATCAGGGCACAAAGCAACGCTGAGTACAATCCTTCTGCTTAACTGTGGGGTGAGATAAGATCCAAAGGTCAGTCTGTACAAATCCTTTTTCAACACTGTCATTGTTGGTCCAGAACGAATTAAACAGAGAGGAATGTTTGTAGTTCTCTTCCAATTCCAGTAATTCTCATCGGCAGAACTGAAAAACTACCTTTCCTTGGCAGACTACTAGAAAAAGATGTCAGGTTGGGCAGTAGAAATAAAATCATGACTAAACACTTGCCAAATCCACCCTCAACTTACCTACTGTCAGCATTACCTCCCCCAAATAATTCCTCAAATAAAAAACTGGATGAGTCAAAATCCAAATGGAAAGCATCGGAGCCAAGTACACATAGCCAAGGTTTGGGAGGGTGTGAGCCAGACCAGACACTTGTGATCTGCTCTGTTTTCCCAATGAGCAGCAGGTGTGCTTGACAACCAGCTATGCAGGAGTTGGTGTGGATGGACCACACGTTTTGGAAAATTGCAGAGTAGCAAGTCCTGGGGTACTATCATAGCAACACAAACAGCAGGAGTTCATAACCCACATCAAATGCTATCAACCACACCCTCATCTGTTCTGGACACATAATTTCTTGGAAAAGACCCCAAATTAAGTTCTTAGGCTGGGAAAATTACATACAGTCCATAAAGACTGCATCTATCCTACCTCTTCTGTTCATTAAGAGGAAGTTAAACTAAGTTATAGTTTCCGAAAAGCAGGACTTCAAACTTTTTTTAAAAAAATCATTTTATTGGGGGCTCGTATCACAACCCACACACCCATCCATTGAATCAAGCATATTTGTACACGTTGCCATCACTTTCAAAACATTTTTTCTACTTAAGCCCTTGATATCAGGTCATTTTCACCACCTCCCCCAACCCTTGGTAATTTATATATATATATAAATTTGGCAAGTAAATGTCTTACACTAACCAGTCTCCCATCACCTACCTTTCTGTTGTCTGTCCCCCTGGGAGGGGGTTATATAGATCATTGTGATGGGTTCCCCCCACCTTCCCCTTCCCCTCCTGGTATCGCTACTCTCATTCATGGTCCTCATTTATCTGTCCTGGATCCCCTGTTTCTCAATCTCTTATCTGTACCAGTGTACATGCTCTTGTCTAGCCAGATTTGTAAGGTAGAATTGGGGTCATGATAGTGGGTGGAAGGAAGCATTTAGGAACTAGAGGAAAATTGTATGCTTCCTTGGTGTTCTACTGCACCCTGACTGGCTCGTCTCCTGCC